GGGTGAAGGGCATTGTCCACAGGATGGACTCAGGTCCCATTGGAAATAAGGGATTGCCACCACGGGGACCAGCACCTGGCCCTGCCCTAAATCCTCGTTTTTCAACCCACTTCATGCAGGGTCAGGGGAACAGCCAGCTGTGCTCCCAGCAGCTCAGAGAACTGAGTGCCATACTCAGTGAGTGCCATACTCAGCTGGCACCGGGTGTGATGGGGGTTTTGTACACAGCCTGCCCGGCCCCCATCCGTGATTCACCAGAGCGATAAAAGGCTTTGGGATTTTTTCAAGGGAAGCAGCTTTGAAGGCACGTGTGGGGCCGTGGGGGGCACAGCATCCCGAGCAGCATCCCATGTGCTCACCGCATCCACGCGGTGCCGGGTCCTGTAGGGGTCCTCGGGACAACGCTGCCAGCACGGCTGGTGCCCCTATGGGGTGACACAGCTCCCTGTGCTGGGTACAACCACGAGGGATCTGCTCCTCGAGAGGAGCCCACCCAGCCCTGCAGGCAGCCGAGCGAGCAGCGAAACCCCCCCTGCTGCCTCCCCAGGCTGCTTTGTTCGGCTCCATGTTGTCAGCGTTTCCAGAAACTGAACCTCAGCCCGATGCGCTGCAGAGCGCGGCCGTGCTGCTGGGTGGCACTGTTGGGATGCACACTGTGCTGCTCAGGAGCAAGCGCGCAGCGAAGGGCGCAGCGCACGCAGATCTCACGTGTCCAGGTGCAGCTGTACAGGGCGCTGCACCCCAACATGCACGCTTCCCAAGGCCTTGCACACTCGAAGGTATGCGCCGTGCAAAGAATTGCGTGCTGCGAGGTGCGCGCTGCAGCAGGGATTGCATGCACTCAGATGCACGTTGCATAAGGAATTGCATGCTCCGAAGTGCATTGATGTGAAGAAGTAGCAGCGTGCTGAACCAGGGACTTGCACCCTCCAGGGTGCACAATACCCACGGCCTTGCACACTTAGGTGCATGCTGCACCAGGGGTTGCACTCACCAACATGCACGTGGCACTGAGAAGTTGCAAGCCAGGATGCACAAGGCACCCCCAGCACCCACGGGGACAGGATACAACCTGGGGATGTCGGGCAGAGCAACAGCAGTGGGGCTGCAGCAGCAGAGATGGGGCCGTCCCGGGGGCCTCCAGCTGCAGCCAGCACTGGGCCGGATGTGGAGACCCAGGGCCCCGGCGAGGCGGTTTTGGGTTTCATTGCGGCCCCCCTGCTCTGCATTCCTGCTTTCCTAAAGGCCTCCTTGCAGCCAGAGGCAGGGAACCCCCCTCCCTGTGCTCGTGCCCCATTGCTGACGTGTCCCCACGGCTGCTGGCCCAGGGACAAAGCAGGGAGCAGATGGAGGTGCCCTTCCCATCCAACCATCGCCACCAGCTCCCCCACTTCTCAGCCCCACAGCTCCCCAGGGCCGCATCTCCCGACTCATCCCACAACAGAGGGAGGTGCTGGGGGAAGGCACAGCGCTAATCCCCGTGGCCCCGCTCCTAATCCTGCCTAATGGATCCTTGTCACCGCCACAATGGGGTTATCCATCTGGAAGGGGATCTCCTGGTCCAGGAAGTCACAGCTGGTGGCCTCCAGCCTCAAAGCTGAGCTCAAATCCCACCCCTCTGTGCTTAGGGATGGACAGTAGTGAGACAGACCCCAGCCCCTCTGCACCCACCCCAACAAGAAGCCAAATCTGCTTCTGCCTCTGCCTCTGCCCAGTTCCAGGCTGTGAAGTGATACCAGCTCCTCCCAGCCCTTGATAGGAAGCTCCCAGTTGGGTCCTGGCACAACACAGGGCTGAGACCTTAAAGAAGTGGGATCCCAGGGATGGGGTCCTGGGGGTGGGATGCTGGAGATGGGGTTCCAAGGAGGGGATCTTGGGGAGGGGTCTCGGGGATGGGGTTGCCTTGGTCATGCTGGGGTTTGGCCTTGCTTGGTTTCTCCCCGTGCTGCAGCCCTGCTGCAGGAGAGGTTTGCACACAAACCCACACATCTCCTAGGTGCAGGCTCCTTAAAATAAAGGAGGGTCTCTGTTCCCACCCCTGCAGCAGAAACCTACAAAATGTGCCCCAGCCCCAAAGCTGGATCTGCCGGTGAGATGCAGGTATCAGCCCCATCCTTTTCCTCCTCCTCCTCTTCAAACCCAGCAGCTTCCTCCAGCCGTGCAGGAAGCGCTGACATCCTCCTGCAGCCCTGACTCATCTTCAACTGCTTTCAGTCTCCTCCATTCCTCTCAGCTCCCTTTTGGGATACAACACACCTTGAGGATGGGAGCACCTTTCCATGAGCAGTGACAAGGCTGTGATGGGGACCGGCGTCCTGGGATGGAGATTGATGCCTGGGATGGGGTCCCCAATCCTGGCCGTGATTTCAACCACCCCATGAGTCCCAGAGGAATGGGTTTGGGGCATGGCAGCTCTGCCACCAATCCCCATCCAGGGGGGCTGGGTGCTGTGAGCTGTGGCCAGGAGGAGCTGAGCCACCTGCCTGCAGAGCTGCCTGCTTTGGGGCACTGCATGGGCAAGTGCTGAGCACACACTGCAAATTCTTCTGTGCTGACTCCTCGCTGCTGCAGTGCATTGGGAGACGTGCACAGAGTGATGGGAGCTGTGTGAAACCCTTCCCTGGCCACCTGGCAGCAGAAATGGAGCTCTTTCCTGCCTCTGTGTCCCCAGCAGAATGTGTTCTCCCATGGGACTGGGGGGACCCAACCCTACCCCAGGGGATGCACAGCTCCAACCCACCTGGGATCTTCAGGAGCAAGGGATGCAGCCATGCAGCACTGCCCCATCTTCCTTCCCTCATTTGAGGCGTGCCTCTCCCCACCAAACTGCATCAGCCCCGATGCTCCCAGCATTTCCCTTACTGGATGCAATTCCATTAGGATAATGGAATAAACCCAATTAATAAAGTGTGAGCAGAGCCCCGGTTGCATCACAGCTGGGAGGGGGCACTGCCTGAACCCCCACTGCCCCCTTAATACCTCGTGGAGCTGAGCGATCCCGATGGGGCTGCATCCCCAGGGGACCCCCACAGCACAATGCCACCCCCTGCTCCAGGACCCCCCACTCTGGGGCCGCCCTTTGTTTTCCTATTGCCACTGCTTTTTTTTTATTATTATTTTGTTTTGTTTTGATTCTGCCTAATACAAGTTTAATGAGGCCGGGCGCCTGCCAACTGTCGGGAGAGCCTCTGCTGGGGGCATATGGCAGCAGGATGGGTGTCCCCATCACTGTCCCCTCCCAGTAGTGTAGGCACTGCCAGAGGACACAGTTTCTGAGCCTGGGGAGACTGTGGGAACACCCCTTTATCTCAGTGGGACACAGGAGTGAGGTACCCCCATGCACTATCACCCAGCGGTGCTCCTCACCCTCTAACCCTGCTGCTCAGCTCTGGGTCAGGTTTTAGGGCTGGGGGGAATGCAAAGGGCTCCGCAGCTCCCAGCAGTGAAGCAGCCACTGCCCCACGCATTGCTTCATCCCCAGTGCTGGGGGCACTGCGGTGACATGTGGGGACATCTCTCTGCGCGCTCGGCCAGGCACTGCCACCCGCCCTGCTGCTGGGGAGAAAACTCTTTTTTTTCCCCCGTGCATAATTGCTTTTTTTTTTTTTTTCTTTTGGTGAGCAGAAAAGCCGTTTCTTTCCCATCCTCACCATCTGCCCTCTGCAGTAGCAGGAGGAGATCCCACAGCTGCACAGCCCCGTGGCCGGGTCCTATTGCCCTGCTGCTCCCAGGGAGAGGAGCAGAAATGCTCACAGATCCCAGCAGTGGGGTTTGCTTCCAACCACCCGCAGGGCTGGGAGCGAGCCGGACTTGCAGGAGCAGAGCAGGGCAAAGCCAAGCAAACCCATCTGGGCCTGCCCACACAACCCATGGGTGCAGCCGGGGGGGGCAGCTGGAAGCAGTGCTCCTGGGGCAGAACCAGTGTGGGCTGAGGAGGTTGGGAGGTGGCTGGGGGTGTGCCCCCCTGCAGCCCATCCCCTGTTCCCCTCCAGGCAGCTCAGCTCCCTGATCCAACCTTTGGTTTTCCATCACCGGTGCTGCCCCACTCGCCCTGCAATACCCCCATGCTTTTTGCTTCAGCATGGATGCTGAGGATCTGGGGACCGGCTAGCACGTGGCTGACTGTGGAGGGGGTTGATTTGGGTCCCCCCACTCCAGTGGTGCCTGGCACGGGGCATTGGGGTGGCTCTGGGTGTTCAGGGCTCACGCTTCTCTGCTTCAGCCCTGTGGCATGGCTGGGGGGTGCAGAGAGGTGGAAGGGGGGCTTGCAATGTAGAGGAGTCCTGCAAGGGGAGGGGGGCTTGCAATTCAACAGGGAGTCTTGTACTGCAGGGTTTGGTGTTAATAGAGTGGAGCTTGCAATGCACTGTGGGCTGGTCCCACAATTCAAGTAGAGCCTTGCTTTGCAAGGAGGGTCTCACAATGCCAGGGGGTCCTTGCAGTGCAGAGAGGGCTTTGCGTTGCAAAAAGGGGGTCACACACTGCAGGACGTGGTGCAGGGGGGCCTTGAAAGTATTGTGGCCTTGTGATGCTGAGGGGTCCTTGTGATGCTGAGGGGTCCTTGCAGCGTAGAAATGAGTCTGGAGATGAGCAGAGGATCACGCACTGCAGGAGAGGGCAACCTTAAAATGCACGGGGAGGGGATGCAGTGCCGAGGAATCCTTGCCACGCAGGGTGGGCATTGCCGTGCAGGGGGGAGTCCGCCAGCGTGGGGGTGTACTGCGATCTGAGCGGGCTCCTGTTCTAACAGTGGGGGGGCCGCTGCGGGGAAGAGGGTAACGCAGCAAAAGGCCGTCGCAGTCGGGGGGCGTCGCGACGGAAGCACTGCGGGGGGTGTATCGCGGTGCGGGGCTATCGCGGCGACGGGTATCGCGGCGGGGTACCGCGGGGGGGCTCCGGCGGCGCCGGGGACCGTGCGGGGCGGGGAGGGGTCGCGGGGGGCGGCGCCGCGCGGTGCTATAAAGGCGGCGGAGGGGGCGGGCGCGGCGGCGGCGGCAGCGGCAGCGCGGAGCGGAGCCGAAGTGCCACGATGACGGCGAACGGAACGGCGGAGCCGGTGCAGATCCAGTTCGGACTGATCAACTGCGGCAACAAGTACCTGACGGCGGAGGCGTTCGGCTTCAAGGTGAACGCGTCGGCCGCCAGCATGAAGAAGAAGCAGATCTGGACGCTGGAGCAGGACGGGGAGGATTCCAGCGCGGTGCTGCTCAAGAGCCACCTGGGCCGCTACCTGGCAGCCGACAAAGACGGCCGCGTGAGCTGCGACAGCGAGGAGCCGGGCCCCGACTGCCGCTTCCTGGTGGTGGCCCACGGCGACGGGCGGTGGTCGCTGCAGTCCGAACCGCACCGCCGCTTCTTCGGCGGCACCGAGGACCGCCTGTCGTGCTTCGCCCCGTCCGTGTCCCCCGCCGAGAAGTGGAGCGTGCACCTGGCCATGCACCCGCAGGCCAACCTCTACAGCCTGGCCCGCAAGCGTTACGCGCACCTGGGGCCGCGCCGCGACGAGCTGGCCGTGGACCGCGACGTGCCGTGGGGAGTGGACGCGCTCATCACGCTGCTCTTCGTGGAGCAGCGCTACAGCCTGCAGAGCTGCGACCACCGCCTGCTGCGGGCCGACGGCCGCCTGGTGCCCTCCGCCGAGCCCGGCACCGCCTTCACGCTGGAGTTCCGCTGCGGGAAAGTGGCGTTCCGCGACGGGGAGGGCCGCTACCTGGCGCCGTCGGGGCCCAGCGGGACGCTGAAGGCGGGGAAGAGCAGTAAGGTGGGGAAGGATGAGCTGTTCGCGCTGGAGCAGAGCTGCCCGCAGGTCGTGCTGCGCGCTGGGAACGACCGGAACGTGTCCACCCGGCAAGGTGAGGGCCGTGGGGGGAGCGGGACGCGCGCGGGTGACCCGGGGACGAGGAGCGTCGCGGCCCCGCGGTGCTCTCGGCTGCGCCCGCATCCGTCGGGCATCGCCGCCCCATCGCCGCAGCGGACATCGCTGCTCCCGGTGCCCCCCCGCATCCCCGCGGCAGGGCGGCCTCCCCCGCTCCTCTCCCGCAGGATCCCCGCTTCTCTCCACAGACACCTCCTTTGGATCTCTGCTCCCTCCGAAGCCCCCGTCTCTCCATGACTCCCCCCCTTTCCCCATTCACTTCCAGTATGGCTCTCTGGTTTTCACCCTCCCCCCGCCCCCCGCATTTCGCGGCCCCCATCCTTACAGCAGAGCACCCCGGACGGGGCGAGAGGCGCGGGGAGGGCGCTCCTGAGGGTATGGGGGGGATCTCTGTGGAGTCTCCCATCGTCGTGGCGGAGGCAGAGCCGCTCATTGTTCATTCACTAACAAAGCCTCTCCCAAGCCGCCGCGCCCCGCCCCCCCCCCCCCCCCGAGCATCGTTCGTCCCGTAGAGCTGCGGGGGGCTGAGCTCCCCCATACATGCGGGGCGCAGTGCCATCCCCATCCCCAGCGCTGGCGTCGTTACACGGGGAAAGGAAAGGCTCTGCCCGAGCGTCCGCGCTGCGCTGTGAGCGCCGCGTAGGAACCCCCGCACAAAGGCGCGGTGCCACCGCTGTCACCTCCGTCCCCTCGAGGCCACCGCCATGTGCTCAGCGCCCCACGGCCGCGTGGCAGCACCGCTCCCCGGGCACTGAGCCACAAGCAAGGAGTTGGGGGGTGGGGGGGGACAGCGCCGGGAGCCGCGGGGCACAGCGGGCTGGGATGGGTGCGGGCACGCTGCTGCTGCACAGCCTGCGCCTGAACAGAGCGGGAATTTTCTTATATATATCCTTAATTATGTAATATTTCGAGCTTGCAGCTTAACCCTTGTCTGCACGCGGGGAGCTCGGCGCTTTGCTGCGGGAGAGCGAATGCTGAGTGCAGAGCAGCCCCTGAGATAAAGGGGTTTGGCTGCGGGGAGACCGATCCCGGGATTGGGGGATAGAGGATGGGGGATGGGGG